GCTGCTTCGAGGGTTTAATGAAACATGATGCTGAAAGAACGGGCAGTGGCAGCAAATTTTCAAGCTCCCACCAACGAGCAATTGAAAATACAGTTGCATACTCTTTTTGCAAAAAAAAGGAACATCTCAGTTGATGCCTCTTTTGTCCAGCTCACAAGTGTGTCATTCTTTAGTGCAACGCCTCGTAACACAGCTGATGCTTATGACAATCAGTTTTGCGCTCCTTTAGCTAAATTTTTCGGCAAGTCTTTTCTTCCTAACTCGGTTTTTTGCTACGAAAAAGGCACCAGCATGGCACAGCATAGGTGTTTGTCCCTTCTTTCGTCGCCCTCTTCTGTACCCCCTTCCAACGCATTATTGGACAGGCCACTGACATTTTCAAATTAAGTGCAGAACGTTTTCCACTTCCAAAAATAAATAAATAAATAGCAACGCTCACCAGACTAACCGGTGCGATCATGCGTTTTGTGCAATTCAGCCCATCGAACGGTTGCCTATTGATGATTTTCACTGCTTTGTACTTTAGTCTATGCAAAAATAGTTGGAACATTGAAAAGTAGTTAAAAATTTCACGCACCTGCGCATGAAAACTGAATTCGAAACACTGAAGGGTGAATATCTTTTCGTGATTCCCGAGTTAACAGTTTACTCGCCAAAATTTTCACGAGACCGTAGGTGATACCCGAGAGCGCCGGAACGCTGAATTTGAATAGGCATGATTGAGCGTAGGCAAGGGGTCATTACCCTAAAATTTCAGCTTCCCAGACTCCGTGGTTCCCGAGATAATAATTTACCCGTAAAAACCTTCACTAGCCTGTAGGTGATACCTGAGAGCGCGAGAACGCTGAATACGCATTTGCTAGATCGTGGGCAAGAGGTCGCAACCATAAAATTTCAGCTTCGTAGACTTTGTAGTTCTCGAGATAATAATTCACCCGCAAAAAATTTCACTGGCTCGTAGGTGATACCTGAGAGCGCGGGAACGCTGAATTTGAATAGGCAAGGTTAAGCGTGGGCAGGGGGTCATTACCTAAAATTTCATCTTTCTAGACTCCGTGGTTTCCGAGATAATTTACTTGTCAAAAATTTTCACCGGGCCATACATGTTACCCGCGGGCAGGGGAAAGCTGAGTTTAAATTTTCTGGGTAGGACGTGGACGGGGGACATGCATACAAAATTTCAGCCTTCTAGCTTACTTGGTTCCCGTGATAATAATTTTACACGAAAAAACTTTTTACGGGGCCGTACATGTTACCCGCAGGTACGGGAAGGCTGAATTTAAATTTGCCGCGTCACGCGTTGACGGAGA